GGAGCTTTGCTCAACTCCAACATCAGATCCAAGTCTCTGCTACACTGCCTCAACTGCAGCGGAGCCACAACTCTGGTAGCATCTGAAGGTAGTACCTGCATTTCTGTCTGCTTTTCCAAAGAGCCAAAGAGGAGACAGTAGAGAGCTCATTTACTCAACATTAAATAACCAGATAAATACATAAATAAATAATCTGACAAGCCTGGAGTTCATCAATTATATGAAACAATTTTCTAGACTTGCTGGATGCAGTGAAGGAGGTGCTGCCCCATCTGCACGAACAGCAGATCAATGTTTTCATCTTAGCCGACAGATGTGAAGTTACAGGTGTGGAGAGCTTCATCGATAAAATGAATCAGGCTTCCTCTGAGCCTATACCCAAGGAGTTAAGGTCCCATTTAACCATGCAGAGTCCAGCAGCCTACATATACACCTCAGGGACAACAGGTAAACTACTTACTGAGATTCACGATGCATCAGTGAAAGAAACAGAAGATTCACCCCCTCAGCCTCTGGCTTGTCTTTAACAGGTCTCCCTAAAGCAGCTCTGATCACTCAAAGCAGAGTGTGGACCATGTCTTTACTTCTGGCTACATCAGGAGTGAACTTCAAAGATGTGATTTATGATACCCTCCCTCTTTATCACAGCACCGGCTTCCTTGTCTTCACTGGGGCCATTGAGAGGGGTATGAACTCTTTAGATATATACTATTGTGTTTTTTAGATATATGATTGGTGTATGACTTTAGTTTTTTTTTTAAACCAATGTAATATAAAAACCATAGTTACATATATGTAACTATATGTTACATATTAGTTACATATATGTAACTATATGTTACATATATGTTGAAAAACCCAAAATTTTGACTACTTCCGCTGCTACTCTTTAAAGTGTGCTGTTGTCATCTATTGTTGTGTGCAGGTATTCCTGTTGTTCTGAGGAGTAAGTTTTCTGCTTCCCAGTTCTGGGACGACTGCAGAAAATATAATGTCACCGTCATACAGTACATAGGTGAAATTATGCGTTATCTCTGCAACACTCCACAGGTTTGTGCCAACACAG